AACATAAGCAAATGTGTCAGCCACTGCCAGTGTCACAGCAGGAGCATGGAGTGCCATGGTGTATCGCTCTGAGCTTTAGCTTGTCACCAGGGCACGAGCATTCAGGTGCTGGGAGATGGACTGAGAAGAAAAAGGAAAAAATGTTTTAACAGTTTCAGTTTTTTGATCATTAGCTGGGGGGTTTGTTCAGTAGTGACACATTTTTGAGGTTTGGAAAATACTAGGAACGTTTGGTAAGAAGAGACAGATTTTGTGGGAATAATTTGTGACTTGTAGATCGTCACTGTGGACATATTTGTGGGATGTGTGCATGTGAAAAGGAAGGTTATATATACTGAATCTTTTGAATGAATGTTAATATGGTTGGTGATGATTTTTTTAAGTCTAAATTGATGTGATGATTTTGGATCATTAATAAACATAATCAGAAATCTATGACTATTAGGTCATTTTACTAGGAGGCAGAATTTTTCTAATCTTGCTTGGGAACTCAGTCATTTAATGGCAAGAATTTCCTTCCAGTCGCTATTTATTTTTAAGATTAAGAACATGTCGCATTTAAGTTGCTGTTTGTGTTTAATAGAGATTTTGAATGACTAAGTTCATGGTTTTCTAGCGTAAGCACTGGAAATTTCAGATTTGAAATACTACTGCCATCTTTCTGTCCCAACCTTGTTACACCAGCAGTCAAATTATGTAAGCGTTTCCCCAAGAGCAAGTGACCATTAATGTGAACCAGTTATTCTTAAGCATTTGTTGCTGTTATCCTAACATTTAATTTTTTTCTGGGTTGTCATAGTTTTCATGATGTGACAAAAACTTATGTGTGTTGAAAATTTTATTGTTGTTCAACCTGTTGTATTGTCAGTGAAGTAGAACAGAAGAGGTGAGACTGGAGAAAACATTAAAGGTTTACTAAGAGGTACCAGTGAGTTTGATGTTACCAGCAGAGGTGCTTTTGAACAATACTACTAAGGAATAGAGCTAATGAGACTTGGGGTGTTTTTAACAATTAGTCAGCATTAGTGTAATATTCCTCCAGGGAGTGTCTGTAATGCCCACAAGAATGTGTTGGTGGAAGGATCAGATTCCAGGCTAACCTGCAGTTTCTTTCAGTAGTTGACATAACACACACCTGTGTGTTCTCTTCTCTGACCTCAAGATTGTTTTGAAAAGCTTCTGACATCTGGAAGTGTGAAAAAGAGCAGATTTTGATTTGCTTTCTGACAAGTAGGAAAAATAAGTTCTAAATGTCCTGCTTTACCTGTATATGGTTCTTTCAGTAAGGGCCTGGATTTATCTCATATCCTTCTAATCAACTGCGGAATAAGCCTCCGAGTTTCCATGATAGATGAGGGTTTTCCTTGAAGCATTTTAACATGTGCGAGAGAGAAATATGTATATATAGTTACATAATAAATGTAAATAGATGTAAAATAGCACTCGTGTTTCTTTTTCTTGGGAGGAGTCATTTAGAAATTCTCTCTCAAAATAGTTAAATTGTTTGTGAGTAGGAATAATAAAGAAAACTGACCTAATTTAACTTTACTTTTTACACAGTGATAGGCAAGATTTTCCTTAATAATGTAGATTTGCTCAGCGTCAGTATTACCATAAATGTTGTCACTTCAGAGAAAATATCTATCAAGTAGCAGTAAATTTACTTTGAACTCAGATTACTCTGCAGTAGCTTCGGTAACTGAATCAGTTGGCCTTTAAGAATATATTTTATATATTTATATTATAAAATTAAATGTTCAATTTCTTCTCTTTCAGCATCCCTGGGATCCTACATTGATTTTTGTTAAATTCACAGATTTTTCTTTTCAGAATTAAGCTTCCCTTGGTTTGGCATCAGCAACTTATTCCTTGCAGTCTATTTAATTGAGTAGCCTCTGCTGTTTATGCTAAAATGCAGATAAATGGCTTTCAGCACATTGTTTATAGTTTAGTAGTTCCTGAAGTGAGTCAACATTATCTGCTAGCGTCTCCATGTCATAACTAATGATCTCTCTGCTTATACTTTCTTGCTAGTGAGGAGACACTGAACTCTACAAGGCAAGAGCCTGGCATGGGGGTGGGGTGGAGTGTTTGGGATGGCGCCTATTGGACAAGGCTTGTTTTCCCCCCTTATTGGTATGAAATGGGAAGAGAAATATGTCCTTTACCACGATTTTAGCATGCAAAAAAGCTGACACAAAGGGCCATATTCTAAGGGCTGGGGTGAAAAATTTTTAGGAAGTAGTTGTTAGAGGGATTTGTTTTATTCCAGATTATCTGTCTAATTAATAAGTAGCACAAGTTTAATACTTTCCTGGCCAAGCTATTTGACTTGATGATAGAGAGTGTGAGCCGTCAGGAAGTGTTCAGATGACCACCAAATAGCTACTATGGTTTGAAGGATGAAAGCAAATATTTTTTGTCTACCAAGAAAGATGGGAAGAAAATAAGTAACTTTGTTAACTAATCATTTATCATAAATGGGGCCTATTCATTCTGAAAAATCATCATGCTCTTTCTTTAGGGAAAAAGCTAAACGAAAGAAAAAACTATGTGACTTCATCCTGAGTGAGGATGAGCGGGCCTGATTACCATAAGCGTTAAAGCCTGACAGGTTTTAGCAGTCTCTCATTCATCGAATAAGGAGAATGCTTGCCTCCCATGTTGAATTATCTTCTGGGTTTTTAGGTAGAGAATGGGGCATTCTGTATGGCAACACAGAGGATGGTTTTTTAACAGCTGAAGGAGCAACCCTTACATTTTCCTAAAATATTTTGTTTCATCTCATTTGTTTTTTGTAAATGTGGAAAACTTTGTAACCGAAGTGGCCATTTAGGATAGACATTGTCCTCTGCTCTCCCATATTATATTATTATTTTAGGGAGCACTGTGGTCATTTGGATGGAACTTAACTTTTTATTTCTTGCCTTCTTACTGGAAGTTAAGATCACATACCCAACTTATCAAAATATTGCAGGGTGAAAAAATGTAACACACACAGATATACCTGCCTTATGTTGGTGTGGCTTAAAATATAGAAACATGTGAAGAAAGGCTTATGAGAGAGAATTATTTTTCATGCAGCATCTTAGATTCAGGGTTTTTGTTGTTCTTTTTTTGTTGGTTGTTTATTGTGAGATCCCATACTGCTAATTATTTAAAAGAGGAGGAAGGAAACATTTTGACCTTCGAATATAATGTGTGGGTGGGTACATTATTGGCATAAATGAGAAGATGTGAATTTGGATAAAGAAATATAAAGAGGGAAAATTTAAAGGTAAGATCAGTAGGATGTTTCAAAGCCTTGGCGACTCAGTCTCCTAGCTTTATACAGTTAAAAAATAAAGAAAATAAGATGGTTTTGGGAGGATGTTTTGAAAACTGAAGCCATTTGTTTATGGAAAGAAGGACAGCTTGAACAGTATCAGGCCAGAATGTTCCACTGTGTGCCATACCCAGATGTAAGATAACGCCATCGTTAGAATAACACAGTCTCAATTCAGATCTTTCCTTGGTGTTTCTGCCCAAAAGTCAACAAGATTGTCCTTTGGCAATCTTATTCCTATAAACCAAAGCAAAGTGGATGGTGGTTGAGAATCTTAGCACTATTTTAATGGCCAATTAAGTATAATTTCAGAAAAAAAAATTTTTTTTGTCTTAAAATAACAAGAGTCTGTATATTTTCTAGTCATATACATACCCAGGACCCAATTCAACCATCTTATTTTACCTTGGTTGCACAAATGGGGACAGTTAGGAGACTATGAATATAACATTTTGTGGCATAACTACTAAATCTTGGCCCTCCTTCACTTGGCCTCAAAGTCTTACTTGGAACTTTGAATATAGTATTTTCTCTAACACGTATCTCTGAATATAAGGGAAAGCTATAAGACTTGTCAGATTCTGATGACAGAGAATGTTTTTATGAACACAGGAATTTCTTTTGAACCTATTGCTCCTAAGATATATCATACAGAATTTTTCTATTTTTATACAGTGCTTGGCTTAGCAGGTAATTAGTATCTAATCAATGAACACAATAAATTATTAAACATTTTCTTTAATATATGCATTTAAATTATATTTACATTTTGAAATTTATATGTTTTCTTCAATTCAGCTCTTTTTGTGTATATAAATAATTTTTTTGTTTTTCAACCATCTGTTAGGAAACAGTATCTGTTTTTTGAATAAGGTTTTAGATTATTTATTGAAAATGGCACAGATACTAGCTTGGGGGACAGATGGTTTTGTGTTTATATAGAGTATGAAAGGAAATAGAGTGAAAGTTTTAGTGTGAGTGAATGGTCAGCAGTCCTTTTGTGACAAAATAACAACAACGAAAAAGGTAACTTCTGTTCCACGCCAATTAGATTTTAAGGTTTGTGAACATGGTGGCCATTTCTTCTTCATTTCCGTGAAGCCAGAGTGCTTTGTAGACAGCCTTATGTATGATACGTATTTCTTAAATCAGCTTGGACTTGCTGGTAGTTTTATGCTGGTTCAAGTACTATCTTATGCTGGTTTAATGATACATGATAAGTAGGATAGTTGTGTCTTAAATATAAATTTTATATAAAAAATTTTAATGAGTCAAGTCAAATGATATGGCGGACTTAATACAAAGATAAAATAAGTGGTAATCATTTGGTTTCAGTTTTCCCAATATCTTCAAAGGTTCCAAATCATGAAAGGAGTCTGACATTTAGTATAGGTAAACCTCTTTAAAGAAAATTTTTAAAATATTTATGTAGCTGATCAACTTGTGAAGTTGTGCTTTATTTTAAAATAAACTTAAGAGTTGCATGCTAAAGAACCATTCTGAATGTCAAAGGGTAATATCAAAAAGTAGATTTTAGGTATTTTAATGTCATATATTTTTCTGCCTTGCATATAAATCAGAGGCAGCTTTTAACCATCTGGAAATGTTACGTAATATACTGTGGTCAGTGACTTTTTTTTCTTTCTTTCTTTTTATTTATTTTTTTGATTCTAAGGTTTCCTTTCTCTTACCTTTCCACTGTCATATGCCATGTATCCTGAACAAAGCTCGCTGCCTGACCGGAATAATCTCTCTTGCCAGCTTATAATCAAAGGGAGTACCGAGAAAAACAGCTGAGCTGTATTAGGCAGCCACAGTCTGGACTGCATTTCTTAACTGCTGAATAACACATCACAGGTGCAGGATTAGTGCTGCCCACGGTGCTGGTCTTTTTAGTGGAAACCCCTGGCAATTCTGTGCCTCCTCCTCATGTCTCATCCCAGGGAACCTGGCAACGATCTATCAAGCTTACAGAAATCAAAAGTGAGTAGTGGGAGAAGCTTTCTATCTTACAGAGGCTGTTTTTCCCTCCAAAAGATGTAGGCAAGATCAGTTAAGCCAATTCTGGCACACACACAAAAAGATGATAGAACTTAGTCTTTCTTGGCATGGAGGGTGAAATAGAACAATTCAGGGGGTGCAAAAATTTTATGCACAAAAATCACATGGCAAGAAAATGGAGTTCAGCTTAACTGTCCCAGCAGTATATAATTTAGGTTACTTTTAAACTACTAAAACTTTCATGTATATTATTTAACTTTTGTGTTGTGTATGTGTTGGAGTGGGCATGTGTGTTTGCCTCTACAGATTTTCCAGCACTGTCGTGGTTAAAATCAAGTGTCATGGCTGTGTAAAGTGCCTGTGGCATAATTTAATTTTTGTAACTTTTGACATTCTGAATTTTTCTGCTATGACATATAACTCTAGATTCGTAGGTTGTGAAAGTCAACATTGCTTTCTCACAAATGTGGTTTTTAAAAAATGCAAAAATATTTATAAAGTAAAAATTAATGATTTAAATATTAGAACAAATGAATGTTTTGAAAATATAGTTACTAAGTCAATTACTTTTGATCAAGAAGATTATAAGTTGCTTTAGCAAGGTAAAGTATACGTACACTGAGAAATGAAGGCAAGTATATTTTAGTAATTGAGGTCATTCTTGGCATCTGTCTTAGAAAACTTTTCTATGAAGCATAATACATAAATGTAAACAAAGCCATGTAGATAATACTGCAGGTTTTGAACAGTTTTTCTTTAATTTAAAATTTTTCTCTTAAACTCTATAATGGCTCTCTAATATTTATGTTTTGTTTTAATTCATTTTGTTGCTGGTTATCATTATTCCATATTGTATCACCAGAGATAGATCTTTAAACTCATTAGTGAAAATAGTGTATTCTAAGTTGTTTTTAGAAAATATATTCTATATATTTTATGCTTGAAGTATTTAAACATTTGAAATAGCAATGTATTTGTATTTTTAGGTCAATATGCAGCTTAACTAAGGTATCCATTAACAATTATCCAATTAGAGGATACAGAAAGGATTAGAAGCAGAGAGATCCTAAATGCTTTCGAGGTTTTTTCTTTGGGGAAAAAGAATAGCATGAATGTGGTGATGTGGTTTCTAATCTGTCTGCCTTCATTGTTACTTCTCTTCTTTACATATGTGAGTGTGTTCACAGTAGTTGTACACATCACGCTGTCTTGGGAGTGCTTTGCAAAGCGGCAGAGTAAGTTGTGGTGTGGCGGCACGTTGAGCATTGACTTTGATTAGCTTCAGAACTTTGTGAAGCAGAACACTGACAGACTCGTCACTGAATAAAACTGTAGCTCCTGCTTGGCAGTCTGCCAAGTGCTAGTTGATTCTTTGACATTATTGTCTAAGAGACTATGGTTCAGTTTCTCTTCCAACAATGTGGATTGGTACAGACACGGTAAATATTTTAAAACTCAGAGATATTTTTAATTTTTAATCATCCTATCATCTGTGATTATGCTATTTTATGGATATAGATTCAGTTTGATGTTAAATTGTCTTTAGACATCATGGTTACTTCCTTGTCAAGTTTGTTATTTCTTATATCGATGCTTATATTAAAATACTTATAACCATGTTGTGTTTTAGAGTATTTTCATAGATTTTTAATTGATATGAACATTTTGGTTGAGTTTCTCCAAATTCAAAACCTTATTAAAACCTGAGGGAAAGGCTAGCTGCTGTTTTGCCTTCAAAGAGTGTGAATGTGCTGCCCTCACCATCGATTACTGTGCCGACTCAGGCTCGTAGCTAACAAATGTGTGTGTGTGTTGTCTGTTCACATTTATGTAAGATTTAATCTTTCCATGGTTTGCTCTTGCCATAATTTAGCATCCCATAAACAAAACACTTGAAACTGAAGCTTTCGCTTTTTATCCAGATGTTTTGGGGTCTCTTGGCAGGGCTTTTATGATGTAAAATGTTGAAAACATGATTATCCTACAGAACTTGGGTGATGTGGTAATGTGGATATGTGAGTGTGGTGAAAAGAGGAACAATTGCCAGTGAATGGAAACATGTAGAAATATTTTATGATAAAAGCCCTAGCTTCTGTAGAGAGCCAGCACATCTCTAACATTTTTTATTTAATGTGTTTTGTTAACCTGCTCAGTAGTGTCAACAATGAACCAAGGAAATGAGAAGCTGTCAGTACCTTTGGTGCTTATGTTTTCCATAAAAGATATTGGTTGATTACTGCCACCCGGAGTAATCTTCCCTGCTATGCACTCCTACCCAGGACTTACTCATGTTTGACAATTATATGTGGCGTTATGACATCTATTTCATTGTTCTCGTATATGGTGTTTTGATTTTCCATATGTGGTTGATTTGTCTCCCCATGTTCCATGTGTTGTTGATTTGTCTCACCAGCAAGAGTGTTATTTTACTGAGGGAACTTCAGGTGTTCTGGGCCATTGTGTTATGTAGATGGAATGGATTTAATGATTATTTGCTAAATGAATGTACCACAGGAAAAAAGAAAATTAAAGACAGTATGGTAGTCGGCCTTGAACAGACTTTCAATATGTTTCTTAAGCTAAAAAGCTCTCTATTTTTATAGACTTTTTGCTCACAGTGATGAATCTAGAAAGAAAGGGAAACTACAAGGAAGTAAAATGAAGCAAAAGGAAGGGAAGTTGAAGAGGAAGAGAGAATCTGGACGAGAGAATGAGGATGGGGCGAAAAGAAAAGGAAGAAAAGTAGAAACGTGGGCGATGAAAGAGTGGGGAAAAGGAACAAAAAAAAGTGGAAGTAGGAGAAGAGAGAATACTGAAGAATGAGAACAAAAAATTTGAACAGTCAGCTTCAGCAGCACAGAAAACAACAATGGTTTACTGTTACTCTCTCTGTGTGCAAGGAACTGTGGTAGGCGCGTTACCGGGAAGACCTCTCCCAATTCTCAGAGCAAAGCAGTGAATGCTGCTGCTCTCCTGTCCTCTGTGAGGAAGGTTAATGACTTGCTTAACCTTCTGAGCAAGAAAGTAGCTGAGCTGGGGTGTGAACTCTTTTGTCTGTTTTACCCCATATCCTGGTCTGGTCTGGGTGCACAGCGTGGTGACCATACCTGATTCTAGTTTCTCACCTGGCATTTCATCCCTCCATAGCATGCCCAGGAACTTACCACCACTTCTTCCCTTGTCCCTCTCTCTGACTTCTGAGACTCTTGAAGCAGAAACATGCCTGTGCAAGTAATGTCACAGCTAATGATAGAAAATCTACTCTTCCCTTAGAATACATGCGCTTTTGCTTTGGTATTTTTGAATCGAAATTGTATTTATATTTTATTACTTTTCAAAAGAGTTTGGGTACATATCCCAACTTTTTATTAATGATTGGGTTTCATGTTGTTCATATATATTTTTTCTAAGTTTTTGTTGCAAACAATGTAGAAAATTTATTTGAAAATGTCTTAATATAATGGGGGGGGAGGGCTTTTTGAATTGAATAAGCTTATTAGACCATAAATTAAACCATTAAACTGAGTTAAAGGATTCAAGGTTTAAGTGATAAAAATAAAAATTAGTTATCTATTTAAACCTACTATTGGAGATCACTAAAGTTATTTTAAAAATTAATATTGTTTGTAAGCCTGATTCACGTTTTATTCCTGTGTAGTATAAACTCTTATTTTCAACCAGTGTATTTAAACCAGTTTTGGCTGAGATAGGAAATGGGCATTGATCCACATTATTTATTATCATAACAATATGGATAGGGGTATCATGGATCATTCCCAAAGCATTGCTGGCCAGTTTATTTTTATTTTTTTTTTGAGGAAGATTAGCCCTGAACTAACTACTGCCAGTCCTCCTCTTTTTGCTGAGGAAGGCTGGCCCTGAGCTCACATCCGTGCCCATCTTCCTCTACATGTGGGATGCCTACCACAGCATGGTGTGCCAAGCGGTGCCGTGTCTGCACCCAGGATCCGAACCGGCGAACCCCGGGCCGCTGAGAAGTGGAACGTGCGAACTTAACCGCTGCTCCACCCGGCCGGCCCCAGTTTAGTACTTTCAGATTTGTCTTCCACTAGTGTTTTTACCAAGACACTTAAACTGCAAACTTGTGTGATATGAATTTCAATTTCTCTTCTTGCTCCTGCCTGTCCTCTGGTGAAGAAGGGGTAAAACAGTGAAGACACTCAAAATTTTGGTAATTTTTAAGATATTCAGAGCTAAAAAAAAAAAAAATGAAGAAAGGAGAATAGATTACTAGTAGATCCTGTGGCACAAAATAATCATGTCATCTTTCAATAAATTTGAGGACTCAAATCCATTTCTAAGTACGTTGTGTGTTGAGATTTAATTTTCCTTGAATTATCTTTATTGTTCATAAAGATTGTTCTCTGTGTGTTTTAATGTGACAGTGGATTCTGATAGTTGCTTCACTGTGGCATGTAAAACAATCTTTTATGTCACAATCTTAAAATGTTTTACTTATGGTGTTTGTGAAGTGATAAGGATGTTACTGAGAAAAAATAATTAAAACTAAATATAGCTAAAGCATTCTTTAGGATATAATGGATGAATATGGAACTTAAAATTTATTTGTTGCTGAGTCATAGTATTGGAAATTTTTTTTATTATATTTTACTTTTCTGTTTTCTGCTTTTTCGGTAAAAATCTTATTTCATATTATTCTTTAAAAATTGTATGAAGAGTCCATAATATGAAATAATATAAAAATATTTTGAAAATATTGAACTGATTTATTAAGTATATATATCAAAAAGTAAGTTATTTCATGGTGTTTATACCAGACTTCCAGCTAATAATTGTCCACTGATTCCAAGTGAGTACTTTAAAGAAACTCTTTATAACGCTGTCTTATTTCCTAACTTATATAAGAGATGCCAAAGAAAACTTGTATATGACTATATACAAATATACAAAATAGCTAAAAACATGTATATAACTGTAACATATATCCAAGGAAAGATATT